AATTGAAAGAAAGAAAAGAAAAATATCCACTGGCCTACTACATATTAGAAGGAAAAAAATTCAAATAAAATGTACGATACATAGCTCTCATTTTTGCCCTGTCCTCACTGAGGCAGAGGATCAGGGTTTAGATTTAAGGGAATTCAGGAGATAATATGCTAGAAATTATTTAATACGTCCAAGGGTTTCAGAGACTCTGGAATAGGAAGAGGCAATATCTACAATATTGATATTTGAGAAAATTTTTGGTAGCCATCTATTCCCTTGCTTTTTCCTTTTCTCCTTTTTTTTCTGGTTTCTTTTCTTTTTCTCCTTTTCCCTATTCTCCCACCTACTTTTTCTAGCTTATCTTTTCTTCCTTAATATAAAGCAGATTTACTTTCTTAGGAAAGTATTTGATAAATAGCCTCCAACTGCAGTAATTTCTTAAAAGTAAACTATGTTTACTCATCTAGAATATGATATGTTAATACAGATTCTAAGTTTTGGCTTATAGTTTGGTGCATAAAATTAAAAATTGTTACATACTAAATTATTTCGGCAGATCCCCAAGTAAACCCTTGGCACGAAAATTAATGGATTGGGAAGTAGTAAGCAGAAATTCAATATCTGATGACAGGTTGGAAACACAAAGCCTTCCATCACGATCTCCGCCTGGGACGCCTAATCAGTAAGTACAGACTCACATCAGGTGTTCATTTTGCTCATTTCTAAATTATTGACTGTATATGTCCATTACTTAAAGATCAAAATATGTAAATCTTTCTTATTTAAACTTTGGTTAGATATGATTTTTGTTATTGCAGATTATTATTTCCTCTTAGCCTTTCTCTGAGCCTCTAGCATTGTGTAAGTGGCATGGAATAACAGCCTCCCATCAGATGAGGTAGTAGAGCATTCAGCAAGGATGTCACTTTCTTACACAGTCAACTTTTAAAGGAAGGGTCCCTAACCAATAAATCAAAATCTGCTGCTAGACTTAAAATATGAGAATATGGTTGTTGTTGACATAATCCTTTTCCATGTGGATCTCCAATAGAATTTCTGAAGGAGCATATGTTGTCTGAAAATTCTAAGTGATTATGATTCTCTTATTTAAGCTCCTACTCCAGCCACTGCTCTACCATTTTCTATAGTCTAGAACAGTGATGGCGAACCTATGACACCTCTGACACGCGAACTCATTTTTTTGGTTGATTTTTCTTTGTTAAATGGCATTTAAATATATAAAATAAATATCAAAAATATAAGTCTTTGTTTTACTATGGTTGCAAATATCAAAAAATTTCTATATGTGACACGGCACCAGAGTTAAGTTAGGGGTTTTCAAAATGCTGACATGCTGAGCTCAAAAGGTTCGCCATCACTGGTCTAGAAAGAGGGGTTTCCAACATCAGTTCCCACAAGCTTGGCCATAGCTATGCTAAGAAGCAGTGTTATTCAGCACTTCTGTTTATGAGTTATACTCTAAGATTTCTCACAAAGGCTATATACTTTGGTGTAGATAATAATAATAACATCAACTTGTACTAACCAAAGATGTTATCTTCATTTTATAATGCCAACCAATGTGTTGTAATATATATATGTAATTAAGATACTAATAAACAGATGTGAGTCAGTACATTGACAGACCTTGTTAACCCATAGGTTGATAGTCAAAATATTTGAATTTTGTTATGGAATACAATATTTGAAGAAGTCTTTCTTTAAAAATATCTCATACACATTAATATCCAATAAGTGTACACTACATTAAAATTGTGTCACTGGTAAGATGTTTATGAGCCAAAGAATACACTTATACCATATTGCCAGTAAAGTATACATCAAAAGTTTGGTTCACAGAATGATACCTAATACCTAGATGTCTTTCTTACTACTAGAAAAAAATAGACTAAAAAGTTTCTGTCTTGCTAATTGCAGGTTGCTAAATCATCTTTCTTTCAAAGAGATTGTTTGTATTCAAAGACTAATTAACTTGTTAGAAGAATATCCAGAAATTTCTTTTTCTGGGCTCTTTTCCAGCCAGCATTTATCCATTTGTGATCAGGAACAAGATATTTAAACTAGATGATTGAATTAATTAGCAGTAGCTCTGATTAATGAAACAATTTTAGGTATGATCTGAAAAGATTGGCTTTTTTCTAAATTTTAAAGAGACAGTACAGTATAGTGGTTAAGAGCATGGGTCCTAGTGTCACTGTACATTGGAATTTTGAGCAAATTAATCTTTGTCCCATGTCCTTTATCTATAAAATTATATTTATAATAATAGTGTCTTATACTATTGTTTGAAAGTTAAATGAGATGCTGTAAGTAAAATGCTTAGAATAATGCCTAGCACAAAATGCACACAATAAGTACTCAAATGTTAACTTGCATAATTAATAATAGTAATGATAGTAATTCATGTGACTATGTCATGTATGAGGATAGAAATAGTTATTCAGTATTTATTCATAGGAAGTAAATCAAGTCCCATAAATAAAAACATTCATAAGAATTCAAAAAGAACATGCTAAGTGAAATCTGTCAATCAGAGAAAACTAAGAACCATATGATTTCATTCAGATGTGGGATATAAAACTGAAACTCATTGACACAAACAACAGTATGGTGGTTACCAGAGGGAAGGGAGGAAAAGGGAGCCAAATATACGGTGATGGAAGACTATTATTAGACTATGGGTGGTGGGTGCACAATGCAATATACAATGACAAAAAATAATTCAGGCAAGAAGATATTTCTGAATCATTTATTCTATCCCTTTATTTTATAAGTGTTGATTAAGACAAAGTTGTAGTAACTAAAACCTAGAAACATTGAGGTTGGTAGAGATAATAGATGACTAAATAGGTAAAATCCTTGTGGTAGATGATTATCTATAGCTCAGTTTTTGACTTCTTATTCTGTGTTATTTCTGTTTATGTCACACTGTTTTTGTCAGACTCTGAGTAGTTGATGTGGTTAGTCTTTAAAGTATTCACCCATTTTTTGAAGGAATCATGTAAATAACATTTTAAAAATTGAATTAAGCACATTTTCACTCAGTTTTCTTCCTCTTTGTGTAGTCGAAATTCTGCATTCACACAAGAGGGACCCCGGTTACGACCATCTTCAGTGGGTCATTTGGTAGACCGTGTGGTTCACACTTCCCCAAGCGAAGTATTTGTGAATCACAGATCTCCATCTTCAACACAAGCTAACAGCATCATTCTGGAATCATCACCGTAAGACCTTTTCCTGTTCAGTTTCCTTCTTGTAAATAATAATGCCCAAATTGTTTCACTTGAAATATTCTTGGAAATTAGGGTATTTGATACAAGATTTTATTTTTGCAATGTTGTAAATTTTTTATATTTGAAAATGTACTTATTTGTCTCTGAGAGTTCTTGGTGCTCCCCTCACCAAAGAGAAATCTCCATTATTTTATTGACTCAATATGTTTTGAACTTTTAGTGCATACACTTAAATATTTCTGCAGATACTATAGCACTGTGGTAGTCAGTAAGGTAGTGAAAGGTAGAGTTTTTAAAAATATTTTTCAGGAAGGGACCCATAAGATGACTAGACAGTTTGGAAACATTAGGTAGCAGAGGAAAACTAAGTAAGATGACTGTCACACTGAAAATAAATTATACAAACCATGTACACATTTCTAAAATTCATTCCTATTTCATATTATATACTGATATACAAATTCAACTTCATAAGTCAGTATTTATATGTCATCAGTTTAACGTACAAAATGCTTTCCTCTCATATTAATATGCAACATCTTTTTTTTTCTGAGCTGTCTTTCTTTTTTTCCTTTTTTTCTTGCTTAAAGTATTACAAAGAGTATTACATATGTTTCCTCCCCCCCTCCTTGACCTTCCCCCGGCTGCTGCTTATTTCTAACACCTCCTTCTCTCCTGTTCTTCCCATGCACTCACCTCCCCCTAGCTGAGACCAGCTGGAGCCTGTGTTTTCCT